ATTAGCAAAGTATTCCTAGATAAAGAATACAACGTCCGCAATCAGAGGTCTCTATTATGAAAATGCTACGTTCTTCTTTTTACCACTTTTGAATGCTAAAATTGTTCTTCTGCTCAACTCCTCAAAGTAGTCACTGCTCATCAACAAAAGATGGAAGTCCCATTCCATGAGAGAATTTCAATTTGGGAATTTTCTCTTTCGTGAGACCAATATGCTGTCTTTATCTTATTCCTTGATGCCAAACTTGAAAGAGGAGAATCGAATGTACTTTCCCTCTTCTCGAACCTCCTTCCCTCTGTCGCTATTGGCAGCTTCGAGCCGCATTGAATGCCGTATCCTATTCTTTCCTCTTTATCCGATAAATCATTTGACCCATCAACCATGCCAATGAAGATGATTTTTATGTTTATTAGGACATGACTACCTCATACACTTAGAATAATTTCTCCCATTTTCCCTTTGTTGATCTTGATAAGTTGGATCGTGCCATTTTAGATGAAGTAAAGCATCAAATTATCATCGTTTAATCTACTGGTTTTTGATTCGCGAAAATAGTGCGACGAAGATTTTCCTATAACATCGATCAGCTCATCAGAAATACAACCCAAGACGCTACATAGATTACATCTTTGTTCTTTGAAGAATAAAATTGGACATGGATTGAAATGGAGCTATTCCTTGAACCAAACGAATAACTAGCCAAGATAGAATGCTCGAATGAATAGCCAAGACAGAAATCTTGAATGAATGCTCGGTTTATACCATAGAATCAGCATTTTAGAAACGTCTTGCACAGGAAGAAAGGAACAATCAAATTGTCCTCGATAAATTCTTGTTCATTATGCTAGATCTTTCGCATCCTATAAGTTCATTTTCTGCTTCTTCTTATTTATGTAAGACTATTTTGATCCCGAAACCCATGAAAATTTCACAATCTGTAAATATTGACATGTAAAATACTAACATAAATTTTTCATTTATTTTTTCGAAATATTGATAATATTTTAATCAAGCAAAGAAAAACCTTTTAACTTGTTATTGAGTGCAGACAAACAAGCCCTAAATCACTCCATTTTGCTAATATGACGAATTTTCTATTTAATTTGCATTTTCAGTACAAATTTCATTTTTAATGTGCAAGTAGAATTGAGATTAAATCAATTCGATGATAAAACACCAACCTGACACAAAGCAATAAGCATCATCCGTGCATGAGATTCTTTTCTCCTACCGTTGAAAGCATGAAATACCTCTCTTGTGTTCATTTGCGGAATGATTAGTTCATGATTCTTTTACCTTATGACAAACAAGTAAGGAACTGTCTTAACATGTATATATACATTCCTCACTATTCCTCCTATACAAACGGAAACTATATAGAGCGGAGCGATAAAGTTCAAACTAAGCAATAACATGGCATTTAGTTCCATTTGGGATTTGTTGAACAAATGAAACATCTGAGGTTTCTTCATGATGAACTAATCATGGATGAGATACTTTTCTTTTGCCATTTAATGCGCGAGATATCTCACTTGTGTTCATTTGTGGGTGGTGGTATACGATTCGTTTACACTCTTGGGTTTTTGAATATATTCCTTCTTCTAACAAACAAGCAAGGAATCATCTCAACATGTATATATACATTTCCCACTATTTCTAATATAAAAACCAAAACTATATAGATAGAAGCGATAAAGTTTGAACTAAGCAAAAACATGTCATTTGGCTTGATTTTGGATTTGTGGAATCAATGGAACATCCGAGGCTTTGTCATGCTGAGTATCTCGTTCCAGGTCTTTCTCATTCTATTTGCACCCCTTACAAAGAAAGTAGCGAACTACCGCATCATTTTCCTCTTGTGTTTGGCCTATTTGATGGCTGACTGGGTAGTTGCATTCACGATCGGCCTCATCTCTCACAACCAAGGCAATTCATCCACTCATGCGGCTAAAGTGGACAGAGCACTTCGGGCATTTTGGGCCTTGTATCTTTTGTTACATATCGGCGGTCCGGACACTATCACTGTCTTCTCTTTGGACGACAACTCGCTTTGGGAATGGCACCTATAATCTCATCTTCCAGGTCGGCCATCTATCTCTTTGTGCATATATTTCCTGGAGACAAGTCGTTGGTGATCCTAATGATGTTGGTGTTTCTTGCAAAGATGATTATGTTTTAATCTTAGAAAACATAAACAAAGAAATTCGACGAGTCTAAATTGATATAATTAGTGAGATTATGAAAGTTTTTGTTTGGAAATTTTCAAGGTTTTAGAAGTTGGAAATTAAAACTTAGCGTAACTCTAAATACACCGTTGGTGCTTACTCTTTTGTTCTTAATAATTTTTAAGCAGATGGCACCATCAAGACCATTACCTTTGCCGTAAATTTTAGTTCCCCATAATCAAGAAAAAAATCTGAAAAATTCTCCTGCAGTAGGCTCGATTTTCGGAGTCCTCCAGACTTGACTTTACGATACACCGATTTTAATCGCTTTTGACTCAACAATTTCCTTGTATTCATCGCTGATGGAAACAATTGCCGACCGACGAATACATGCTCATAACACATACATTAAGCACCTAGCGGTGATTTGCTTAGCCATGAATTGACCTTACCTCGAACTTCTCACACGCAAGAAACGCATAATTGTGGTTACTTCACTTCATGACTTGACTTTCTCAATACAGATCTCCTCTCACATCTGCAGTGGTCATTCATTTTTAATATTTCAATTTATGTTCGAAAAACCCAACCCTTTTTCGATCTGAAAATTGGGTTTTTTTTATTATAAAGTTTTCGATTGTGCACGGGAATGGCATTGAGGAAATGTGTGCATGATGAGCACGTGAACGTTGGCCGGCAGTTAATATCACTCAAGATGAGCTCGGAGAGATAATTGAGTCACCGCGATCAAAATCTAAGATATTTTAGAACACAATCAAATTTGGAGGAACTTTGAGAAACAAACTCCACTTCAACGGGAATTTTTGGAATTTTCCCGGAATGAATATGATCCCCAAGCGAGGCCAACGTTAGTTGCACTCCACAAATTAGCCAACGTTGGATCCTCTGCTACAATTTAGAAAGCCAGCTCTCTCTCTATAAACTTTTAATTAGCAAAGTATTCCTAGATAAAGAATACAACGTCCGCAATCAGAGGTCTCTATTATGAAAATGCTACGTTCTTCTTTTTACCACTTTTGAATGCTAAAATTGTTCTTCTGCTCAACTCCTCAAAGTAGTCACTGCTCATCAACAAAAGATGGAAGTCCCATTCCATGAGAGAATTTCAATTTGGGAATTTTCTCTTTCGTGAGACCAATATGCTGTCTTTATCTTATTCCTTGATGCCAAACTTGAAAGAGGAGAATCGAATGTACTTTCCCTCTTCTCGAACCTCCTTCCCTCTGTCGCTATTGGCAGCTTCGAGCCGCATTGAATGCCGTATCCTATTCTTTCCTCTTTATCCGATAAATCATTTGACCCATCAACCATGCCAATGAAGATGATTTTTATGTTTATTAGGACATGACTACCTCATACACTTAGAATAATTTCTCCCATTTTCCCTTTGTTGATCTTGATAAGTTGGATCGTGCCATTTTAGATGAAGTAAAGTATCGAATTATCATCGTTTATTCTACTGGTTTTTGATTCGCGAAAATAATGCGACGAAGATTTTCCTATAACATCGATCAGCTCATCAGAAATACAACCCAAGACGCTACATAGATTACATCTTTGTTCTTTGAAGAATAAAATTGGACATGGATTGAAATGGAGCTATTCCTTGAACCAAACGAATAACTAGCCAAGATAGAATGCTCGAATGAATAGCCAAGACAGAAATCTTGAATGAATGCTCGGTTTATACCATAGAATCAGCATTTTAGAAACGTCTTGCACAGGAAGAAAGGAACAATCAAATTGTCCTCGATAAATTCTTGTTCATTATGCTAGATCTTTCGCATCCTATAAGTTCATTTTCTGCTTCTTCTTATTTATGTAAGACTATTTTGATCCCGAAACCCATGAAAATTTCACAATCTGTAAATATTGACATGTAAAATACTAACATAAATTTTTCATTTATTTTTTCGAAATATTGATAATATTTTAATCAAGCAAAGAAAAACCTTTTAACTTGTTATTGAGTGCAGACAAGCAAGCCCTAAATCACTCCATTTTGCTAATATGACGAATTTTCTATTTAATTTGCATTTTCAGTACAAATTTCATTTTTAATTGAAAATAAAAACTGAATCACTCTTCTTATACCAACAAATTGAAAGACAAGTCAAATTGATCCTTGTGCTCTTTGATTCGAATCAATTTGATTTTTTTTTTGGGACAATGACACAAACAGTCGCTAAACTTTGGTCCAATGTGCAATTTGATCCATGAACTTTTAACTTGTTCAATGTAGTCCCTGAACTTTAGCCTAATGTTCAATTTGATACCTGAACTTTTAATCCGTTCAATATGATCCCTGGACTTTTAGTGCATGTTCAATTTAATTCCTGAACTATATGAAAATGTTTAATGTAGTCCCTGAACTTGAATTAATGGAAGGACTACATTGGACATTTTGAAATAGTTCAGAGATTAAATTGAACATATACTAAAAGTTTAGAGACCACATTGAATAGATTAAAAGTTCATAGACCAAATTGAACTTTAAGTTAAAGTTCAGGAACTACATTTGTTCAGGGATTGTTTGTGTCATTTGTCTTTCTTTTTTTTTAGTTCTGATTGATTATAATCGAATCCATTTCAATCTTTACCGATTTCTCTCGGTTGATTTCTGTTAGGCAACCAGTTACTTCATTATTCTCAGGGCCGCAATTAATTATTCTTCTTCTTCTCTTCCATGAGAAGAATACGATGCTTCTTTTCTATTCTTTGATGCCAAACTTTCTTTTTTTGTTTGGTCGAATTTGATGCCAAACTTGAAAGAGGAGAGATGCGAATGTACTTTTCTCTTCTCCCAGTGCTCAGTCGCTATTCGAATCCTGTGCCGTGAATGCCTCGTCCATTCATCCATTCATGGATGACATACTTTTCTCCCCACGCTTAATAAACCAGATACCTCGTTTGTGTTTCATTGTTGAGTTTTTGAATAAATACTGTCTTCTGACAAACAATTAAGGAACCATCTCAACATCCTATATATTTTGTTGTCACTAAATTATACCGGAGAGGAGCGACAAAATTCAAACAAAGCGAAAGCATGGCATTTATTTCCATTTCGGATCTGTGGAACGAATGGAACATTCGCGGCTTCGTCATATTGAGTCTCTTACTTCAAGTCTTTCTTATTCTATTTGCACCTCTTCGAAAAAAAATAGTCAACGACCGCATGGTTTTCCTCTTGTGGTTGGCCTATTTGATGGCTGACTGGGTAGCTACATTTGCTATCGGGCTCATCTCTCACAACCAAGCCAATTCATCCACTTGTGGAACTGAAGTAAATGGAGCAATTCAAGCATTTTGGACCTCATTTCTCTTGTTACATCTTGGCGGTCAGGACACCATCACTGCCTTCTCTCTAGAGGACAGTTCGCTTTGGCAACGGCACTTGCTCAGTCTTATCTTCCAAGTTAGTGCCGCCATCTATGTCTTCGTGCAAATATTTTTCAATGACAAGTGGTTGGTGATCCCAACGATGCTAGTGTTTCTTGTCGGGGTCATAAAAAATGTTGAGAGGACACTAGCACTTTATCTCTCGAGTTTCCCAAGGCTTAGGGAATCAATGGGTGCATATCTTTCTGATGTGAAACTTTCTGATGCGAAAAAAACGTTGTTGCATGGAGAATTCCATGTTCCAGGGGATGGATATGATGATGAAAAAGAAGCAAAGCTTGTTGAAAGCATTGTGGTAAAGCATGCTTACCAATTCTTTCAAATCATGAAGGTCTTCCTCGCAGATCTCATGTTCACATCGGAACAACGCGATGCAAGCCTAGAATATTTCCATAAAGTTTCTCCGCTAGATGCGTTGAGGGTGATATCAGTCGAACTCCAGTTCATGTATGAGGTGCTCCACACAAAAGTGTTGGCAATACGTTCCAAATGGAGCTACATTTTCCGCTTCGTAGCCTTAAATGTCCTTGCAGTGGCTTTCATCCTGTTCAATCGCTTGAATAAGCATCGGCTCCCCGAACTCGATATAAACATTACTTATTCCCTTCTTTTCGGAGGGATTGCTCTTGATGTGATAGCTCTTTTCATGCTTGTTTTCTCCAATTGGACTATTGCCGAAATCAAGCTCCTCAACACTTCTTCATCTAAACTAGTTTCATTTCTCCACAAGTTGGTATCTGCCACTGATTATATGAGGAAGGCCCGATTCGCTACATGTGAAGTAGAGCCTAATGCCAACGATACTTACGAGTTCTTAGATACACCATTAATGTTTCGGAGGTGGTCAGAATCCATCTCTGCTCGTAACCTTTTCTCCGAGTTACGGGAGGAGAGTCCAAGAAAGATGTATAAGTGCGATCGGGGCTTGGGCATCATTGCTTTTTCTAATATTTGCAGCTTTCCATTCCGTATGGCTGGAAAGATCGTCTCTTCTTTCTATCAAGCTTGTGAGACAATTGTTGGAGGCCGTTGTCCGAGGAACACATCATTGATTGCGCATACAAAGCACGTGTCCAAGAATCCCTTTATTAAGGAGCTATGGATCTTTATCTTTAAAGAGGTGAAACGTAAATCCGAGAAATATGGTGCTACAAACGTGAGAAAGATATATGAGGCTAGAGGTGATATGTTTCTCGAGTGTGGACCAGGGGAGACCGATTGCAGCAATCTTTTAAAGTATGTCACTGGAGCTAATTACGACTCGGGTATTATATGTTGGCATATTGCCACTGAATTGTGGTACAACAAAGAGGAACCCACAGAAAAAAACGAGGAAAGGGAATTCAGCAAGATCCTCTCCGACTACATGTTGTATCTTTTACTTAACAAGCCTAATGTGATGTCCGGTGTGGCGGGCAATGCTCAATTCACATCGAGCAAGACATTGGAGATACTGCGTGACCAAATCGGAGAAACCAAGGATGTGAAGGGGCAATGCATCGACTTGTTCAAGGATCCTTCGGAATTAGAGCTTGATGAGCGAAGCTCGCGATCTCCGCTCGCCGAGGGGTTCAAATTGGCCCACGAGATGGAAAGGCTTGGGGAAATGAAGTGGAAGGTGATGAGTGGAGTGTGGGTTGAGATGCTGACATATGCAGCAGGTCAAATTAGGGGAGAGGCGCATGCGCGGGTGCTGAGCAAAGGTGGAGAGCTTCTTGCTTTCGTTTGGCTGTTGTTGGCTCATTTCGGTTGCTTCTTCAAGCCTCCATGGGGCATGTACTATTAACGCCACGGGCACCTCTAGCTCGGTATAGATCCTTAATCTTCTAAATTCCAAGCCTTCGTTAGCGAATTCGGGATTGATTCAATCGATTCCTATTTCTTGTGTGTCTATACTTAAAATGGTGTGCATTTCCGTTGTATTCTATTGATGGAAGCTATTTTTCGATAGCTATAGAATGATTCATGTGAGATTGAGTACGACATGCAATTTTATACCCGTGATTTATGATTACATCGTATGATGAACTGACTGTGAGAATGGAATGGATATTGCATGTCGGATGAAGATCTTGTTGATATATTGCAAAGAAGTGGTGTCGAATTAGAACAAGATAGAAAAAAATGTATCACGATAGATATGATGATGGAAATCGAGTGGAGAGATGCGAACGTACGTTTCCTCTTCTCCCGCCACCTCGGCTCCGTCGCTATTCGTAGCTTGTGCCGCCGTGAATGCCCTTATCCAATTCATTCCTCTTTGTCCCACACATCATTTGACCCATCCATCGATCATGCACATGAAGATGGATTTTTATGTTTATTAGGACATGACCAGAAACATAGTCATGCCTTGTATTCAATAGGTCACTCATACACTTGTAATAAATTCAACCAATTCTCCCTTCCTTGATCTTGATCGAATGGATAAATCATATTTTAGATTGATTATAGCATCGAATTATTATTGTTTGATCTCCCGGTTTATGATTCACGATAGACAACGTGATGGAGACATTACATAGATCACATCTTTCAGAGGGGCTATGTGATCTCGATGAACTTTTTTGTTCTGTGAAGAAAAAGATTGGAAATGGATTGAAATGGAGCTATTCCTAGAACCAAAGGAATGACTAAGTCAAGACTCAGAATTTTCTCGGTTTGAAATTTCAATCAATTGATCAACAAGTCGAGCTTTTCAATTTGTGTTGTTCTTCTCGGTTTATACCGTAGAATCTGTATTTTAGAAACATCTTGCATGGGAAAAAAAAAAGGAAGAATCAAATTGTCTATGATAAAATATTGCCCGTCATGTCATTTCGCATCTTATAAGTTCATTTTCCGCTTCTTCTAATTCGTAAATGACTTTTTTAAACCCGAAATCCTTGACACGTAAATACGGATATATATTTTTATTTTTATTTTTTGAAATTTTGATAATATTTTTATTTTTCACTAGAAAACCAAGAAAATAGTTTTTACGTGTTCTTAAGTGCAGACAAACAAGCCCCAATATGATGAATTTTGTATTTTATTTCAAAATTTGGGCAAATACGCTAAAATGATATCACCATACATAGAAAATAAGAGCTCTTCCTCGTGATGTTCTTAATTTTCATCTTCAATGAGGATGGCATTTTATTCTCGAAAGTAAAAAAATTTCCCAATATGGATATAAATTAGAAAAAAGCACATTTGATTGTGTGGATTGCAAAGTTAAAAAAAAAAAAGCGTATTTCAATTTGCGTCCTCATTGAAAATACAAACTTACAAACTTTTTCTTCTCATTTTTATTTTGTAATTCAAAAGTTAAAAACAGCTTTGCATGCGTTCCATCCTCACTTTGAAAACCATTTTCTGACCGAATGCATTTTCAATACGGATTTCATTTTCAAAAGAAAATAGGAAACCGAATCATTTTTCTTATACGAACAACTTTCAAAAACAAGACCGAAAACTTGTCTTTTAAATGAACAAATCAAATGAGAATACAGTCTATTGCTTAATCGAAAATGCACGCGTCAACTTTGAAAATATTATGTATTAAAATAGACGATAATACTTGAAAATAATAGGGTAAAAAGAAAAATAAGGAAAAAAGCAAGAGAAAAGAAAAGGCAGAAACAGGGGAGTCAAAGCAAGCACACATCGATGGCCAAGCTTAGAGCCACTCAAAAATCTCCAACCTTTCTTTCTCTCTCTTCCTCTGTTTCAAAACTCAACAACGTACACAAGAATGACACCTCCCTTCTCTCTCTCTGTCTTCAGTTCTTGCAGTGAAAACCAATCCCACAAAATCTCTTCCATTTGATTGAAACTGAATCAAGAATCAAGAACCAAGACCCCATTGAAGGGCCATGGCGTTCCTCTTACCCAACCTCTCCCCTTCCCTCCTCCAACCCAAGTCCAAGGACAACAAGCCCTGCCACCCCAACCAACCCTTCTGTTCTTCTCAGCCCACCAGACCCTTCTCCCTCTCTTCTTCCTCTCCCTCTTCCTCTTCTCCGGTTTCTGTCAGCCCTGCCTTGAGCAGTGTCCGAACGCCGCCGACAGTTCAAGGCGTTGAAGTGGGTACCCCCCGCGATGAGCAGGACAATCAGCAGAGGGACGACTTCTTCGTCAATCTTGGGCTCGCCGTCAGGACTCTCCGTGAAGACATGCCTCTGCTCTTCACCAAGGACCTCAATTATGACATCTATAGGTATATTCTGGGGTTCTTTCTAGCTCTCTCTTTTTGGGATTTAATTTTGTGGGATTAAGCTTTGAGGTATATGCAGGATATAAGTAGTTTGGGATTCTTATTGCCCATTCAAATGCATGAAGCTAGTTTTGGGATGCTCATAGTTCCATCTTTTTCCTGGGGTACTTGTGCTTGTGTTTTAGATTACTTTTGTTTTGTCATCATCTCTCTGAGTCAATTTGAAATTTCCCTTATGATTTGTGTTTGTTTTAGATAAGCTAGAAAACAGAATACTCAAAGCAGGTGAGCAGACCTGTTGCATGCTCAACAATCCAAAACTACAGGAACAAGCTTTCAAGGCCCCAATTAGAGCATGGATATTAAAGCCTATCGAAGAAAACGTTCCTTCTAAACTGAACGCAGCCCATTATCCTACCACATACTGCCCTCTTAATTCTCATAAGTATTGAGGCATCACTTTCCAACGATAGAAGAGTCATGTATACAGCAATTGCTCATGATCCAAATATAGTGGAGAAAGGCATCCCTTGATAGCTTGAACAGCAACTGGTGAAGTGGATTCCCTTTGAAAGTGCACATTGCCCAAATACCTTTGCTGATCCGGTCCCCTAAATCACGAGAAAGCATATTAAAGTTGCAAAAGAGCGGACCAAGCCTGGGGCAGCAGAAGAACAAGTGATTGCTATGCTCCAAAGCTGAGTTACATAGGCAATATGTTGGAGAAATTTGCAATTTCCACTTTAGTAATCTATCTTTTGTAGCCAATCTGTTGTCCATTGCCAACCAAGGAATAAAACAATTTGCTATGCAAGAATTAAACTAAATAAGCTTGTAACATGGCCCCTTCAATCCCTTAATAGGTATCCGAAGACCTAAATCACAAGAAAGCATATTAAAGTTGCAAAACAGCGGACCTACCCTGGGGCAGCAGAAGAACAAGTGATTGCTATGCTCCAAAGCTGAGTTACATGGCCCCTTCAATCCTTTAATAGGTATCCGAAGACCTGTCCATTGAGAAATCCCCTGACGTGAATTCCAAACTACTCTATCAGGGATAGAGGGTTCGGGCAGCAAGAACCAGAAAGCTCAGGTTGAATCTCAACTGGAGCTTCAGATCTAGCTGGTGGCCTATGCCAATAAATAATCTAAATAACATCCTTCAACTTTATACTCAAAATGAATGTTCTGTTTTGTTTGTAACTTATTGAGGATGTGATTCTACATTAGTTTGTGGATTTTCAAATTTACCATTGGTTATATCCCACTTTTAGCTTGTTCGCACATGTTTAATGAAGTTATTTTATGCAAGACTGTTGAATGTTTGCACTCTTGGCTGTTTATTTGAAATCATTTTTGCAGGGTCCTTTTAAAGCTGAATTTTTGCCTATGCGAATCTGATTTTTCATGTATGTATGATGTTAGTTTTTCCATGAGACGCCTTATGGACAATCTTAAGTAGGTTGTATCTTGTCTTGATGCTAATAGAAATTTGTGTTTTTATGTTGGTTTTCTGTTGTTCAGGAATGATATCACTTTTACGGACCCTCTGAATACCTTTACTGGGATTGATAACTACAAATTAATTTTCTGGGCATTGAGATTTCATGGAAAGATTCTGTTTCGTGATATATCCCTTGAGGTGTACAGAATTTGGCAGCCTTCAGAGAATATGATATTGATTAGGTGGAACCTAAAAGGGGTTCCTCGGGTTCCATGGGAAGCAAAAGGGGAGTTTCAAGGGACGTCACGGTATAAGTTGGATAGGAAAGGCAAGATCTATGAGCACAAAGTGGACAATCTAGCCTTCAATTTCCCACAACCCCCTAAGCCTGCAGTGTCGGTTCTAGATTTGGTCACTGCATGCCCAGCTAGTCCAAATCCGACATTCTTGTGGGGTCCTGTTGATGTGCAACCATCATCATGGGTGGAATTCTATCGAGCTGTGAGGGAGACTTTGGACCATCAAGATCATTTACTCACACAAGACGGTTTGCTCCCTTGCTCATAGTAGAATGTGTAGCTCGTAGTCTTGTAATCTGTAGGGCATATACTTGTGGAATAATGCAATGCAGCTTGTGTAGTAAAATAATTGATGGCAAATAAAGCTGGTTTTTGGTGAATGATGATACAGTATATGTACATAAGGAGTTATGCTGAACAGTTCAATGTATACTCTTTATTCTGGAGGAGGTGGAGTTACTCGAGCGTATAGTTAGTCGGTACATACAGACATCTATTATGTACACACTGATACAACCCTGGCCCTTTGGTCCTCTGTTTCCATTGGTAGTGATATTATTCCAGTTCAAAGTTTTTTCCCTCATAGTGTGCAGTTTTTCTATTGCTTGTGGTTTGGGTAAAAGGTTGTGGCTATGTTCAATCTCATAGGGTGATTAGAAAGGGAATAATTATACATTTTCACTCGATCTTTACAAACACAGTAGGTTGTTCTGCGGTCTATGTAGCAGTGAGCTTGCAGGGTACTTTCTATTTACTCCCTATGAGGTTTTGATTTTGCGCATAACCATGGAGCTAAGGGTCATGTCGCATTCTCATCGAGGTTTCATTTTTTCGATGTAGATGTGTATTGATGTTGATTAGGTTCTAAATCAAGCAAATGCTTATTCTTCTTAAGCTGAGATTGACCTGAAGTGCCATTGTTGTTCATGTCCGTTAGAGCACTTAAGCGATGAGTTCTCTCATAGAGATGTGAGAGCTTTAACT